CGGGCCCTGCTCTGGCGAGGGACTGGGGTTGGGACTGGGTTTGGAAAGGGATTTGAGCCACCCCCACGCCCACACTCAGCTCCCACCCAGCTTTCATGGGACACTGGCACAGCAGCGGGGGCTGGTGAGAGGTGGTTCGGGTCTGCTGCCTGCAAGGAGGCTGTGCTGGAGGGCACCCCCAGCCCACGAGCGATAGGGGGGCACAGCAAGCCCACCTTTCTGGCTCCCCTCTCCGGATCTTTCCCACCAGTGCATGCCAGCACCCCTGCCCCACAGCACCCCCTCCAGCCCCCATCCCACCCCCTGGTCCAGGAGAGCATCCAAAGAGCCCCCAGCTCCTTCTGAGCAAGAGGCACCGAGGGTGTCCAAGACACGAGCGGTGAGGGAGCAAACCCTCGTGAGACACCACGGTGGAGGGTTTCCAGCTGGGTACGGTCATGGAAGGGGAAAAACCAACACATGCAACTAAATCAACATTTGGGAGGGCGCGGGGGCTGCTCGAGGGCTATGTACAAGGCAGGGGCTGGGGGGGAGGGGGCAGGGGGGCCAGCCCCAGGGTTCAGCCCCGTGTGTTGGGGGGGCAAAACTGGGCATGGATAGCTACCCACAGGAGCGAGCAGGGCGGGGATGAGGATGCAAATGCCTCCCATGTGACACAGCACTGCCCGGGATGCTCCTCTGGGATGTTGGCCCATGGCTGGGGACGCTCCCACGGCACAGGGATTGCTGTTGGCAGTTGAGACATGAGGGCTGGGGGTGAAGGCAGCTAAAAACGTAGCTGGTGGACAAAAGCATCCATGAAAGGTAATTATTTCTCCCAAAACGCCCCGAATGGCTGCCCACACCACGCACCTGAGCCCCGCGGTGGCACCAGATTCAGTGGCAGGGCCAGCCCGGTGGCAGAGCTGGTGGCAGAGCTGGGGAAGGTGACTGGGGGGGCTGTGATGTGCTTTCCAGGGGGCTGGCTGGAAGACCAGGAGCACTGGGTGGGAGAAAGTCCAGCGGGGCGGCAGGGCTGGTCGCAGGGAGGGTGAAAGCTCTGTCGGGACCCCACACCCGGTGCCGCTCCCAGGAGAGATGAGATGGGTCCCTTGGGGGACAGACGCAGCTGGAAGACTTGAACGTGCACCCAGGCGCTCCCACGGGATGGTGACGGGCCTTGGAGCCCGGAGCAGCCACATTTA